TATATATATATATATATATATATATATATATACATACATACATACACACATACACACACACACACACATACAAACACACACACCTATCTTCCTACTGTATTTTCCACTGCATGCATCCGATGAAGTGGGTTTTAGACCACGAAAGCTTATGCTTAAATAAATTTGTTAGTCTCCAAGGTGCCACAAGTACTCCTCGTTCTTTTTTCTCAAGTATGTCGTTGTCATGTGCAAAACTATGGGGTTAGGAGGGCTGCATGAAATTTCAATGTAAGCCTCAACTTTTTGGCTAATGGTGCCAGTTGAAAACAGGTCTCTGGTCTTCCATGATGTCCAACCTCAGAAGGTTTTGAAATACCCCCTGCTGGCCAACACCCTGAAAGCCCAGGGCTATAAGGTCCAGATCCACACCTTGGTTGTAGGAGCCCTGGGCATGTGGGCCACCCCACAACGACTCGGTGCTGAGAGCATGTGGAGTCAGTCTCAGTACTAGGACAAGTAAACGAGACTAGCAGATTCCTTCTCTAATGAACCAAGGGATGCACCCCACCCATGTACCTATTCGCTACACCAGTGGTTCCCAAACTTTAACAATCTATGAACCCCTTTCACTAAAATGTCATGTCTCGTGAACCCCGTACTAAAAATGAATATTTCCAGGGATTTTCTCCTTTACCCGAGTATAAATTATAAAAGCAGTGATCTTGGAAATATAAAATTTGTTTTTATGACATGCTTATTACACACTATTTAGTATTAATCATTATATATCATTACAGTATTTGTATTACATTATGAAAATGGCAACACTCTCTTAAGATCTCACTTTCGTAGCCTGTATCACTTTGAATAAGCCTGTTATAAGACAAGGCTCCTATATTTAATCAAGGAGTATCAGATGTGAAACAGCATGAAGGTATTTAAGAAGCCAACTCAAAGAGCTACTCCTACACAAGCATTCAAGTCTTGAGCAGTCCAGAAGAACAACACACATTACAATAAAGCTTAAACTTGTTCTTCATAATTTTAAAAACAATACTAGCTGCCTATTTCATTTTAAAAACAGCAAAAGATATCCACCTTTTCTTATAAGGAGTCTTGACGTTTAAATCTCCTCAGTGTGATAGATATGCTTGCTTTGATCTGCTTAGCTCTTGGAAGTGCAGGGGCTCCAGGCTGCCGACCCTGTGCTGCCCAAGGTCCCTAGGGACAGCTCTGTCCGGCATTAGGGAATTTTGTCCCCCAGAACCCTCTATAACATTTCACAAACCCCCAGGGGCTCATGAACCCCAGTTTGGGAACCACTGGGGTACACCAATAGTGACTTGGACTCTAAATACATTCTACGGGTGACGTCATGTAATGGGGCTTGGCCGCGGTTCATCCCTCAGCGGGGCTGTGGGGTATCCCACCGCCTCGCTCTAGGTCACGGTCAGTCCTGGTCCTGCAGTAGTGGGGGACAGCAAACCCACTGTTAAGGGCTCAGGCCCTTTAGGCCGGGGCTAGGGTGACCAGAAAGCAAGTGTGGAAAAATCAGGACCGGGGTGGGGGATAATAGGAGCCTATATAAGAAAACAACCCAAAAATCAGTACTGTCCCTATAAAACCAGGACATCTGGTCACCCTAGCCAGGGCTGAGTCAACAGTTCTGTAGCAGCCCAGGCCCTAGGTCAGGGCAGGGCAGCAACCAAACAGTCAGGAACTCAGGCCCTTAAGCAGGGGCTGAGTCAGTAAGCAAGAGGTCCCAGCCTCTCTAGGCCAGGAGTTTCTGACTGTTTGGTTGCTGCCCTGCCCTGACCTAGGGCCTGGGCTGCTACAGAACTGTTGACTGAGCCCTTAACAGTGGGTTTGCTGTCCCCCACTACTGCAAGACCAGTAGGGGCCGCGATCGGCCGAACCTTCCGCGTCAGCAGGTAAATAAACTGGCCTGGCCCGCTAAGGTGCTTACCCTGGCAAACCGCATGCCAAACGTTGCCGACCCCTGCTTTAAAAACTCCCATACCCTAATCTGGGTCTACGCTGATTATGTACTATGTATGTATCTTGCGAACCTTGTAACTTGCTGCGCTCAGGAGTGTGAAAACGCCCCTCCTGAGTGCAGCGAGCACGGCGCTGTACAGCGCCAGTGTAATCAGAACCTGCAGCGCTGCACGCTCCCTCGCGGCGCTGCAAGCTACTCTCCTCGGAGAGGTGGAGTACTTAGAGCGCTGTGAGAAAGCTCTTGCAGCGCTGGCGGCGTGACTACACTCGCGCTTCACAGCACCGCCGCGGCAGAGCTGGGAAGTCCTGAGTGTAGCCAAGGCATGAGCAGAGCTAGCTGTTGGGACCCCCACGCAGGGCTTATCTACATGAGTGAATTGACTGGCCTCCTGTAAGCAGAGTAACCACTGCGCTTAGCTATTCCAGTATAACACCCCCATGGAGGGGACCAACGGTAAAACCGCAGTAGCACCCGCCAAACTCGCACGCACAACCCCAGGGCGCGTGCCCGCTCATCACCAGCCCACGTACGTAAACGTCCCCTCACCAACAGTAGACCGCATGCGCACTGAGATTCTCGTGTATTCCCTCATCTCCTGCGCATGCAGGTTGCTGCTCATCCCGCCACTTCTATAAGCATGCGCCTTCAGGCACTCGAGCATTCCGCTTCCTCCCTGCGCATGCGTACTCAGGCTTCCGTTTTATTTCCCCCTATGCTTACATTCTTATATTCCGTCGCTTCTTCGTTTTCCTCACCCACCTTATTCGTATTGCGCATGCGTGAACGTCAACGTACCACCGCCCCCCACCGGGCATAAGCGTTGAGCTTCCCGCGACCCTCTCGTTGCACATGCGCATTCGGCTTCCTTCTGAGACAGGGGCATTTCCCAGCATACCCCTGGCTCCTGGGTATTTAAGCCCCGTCTGGGGGTAAACTCGGCCATTTGCTCAGCTGCTGCTGGCGTGAGATCACGGGGTGAGTGGGTTGGGGGCAATCTGCAGCCATGCGGCTCCACATCGGGAGCTCCTCCTTTGGCGCGGGCTGCTGCTGCCCGCGGTTCCCCGGGGATCTTGGGAGGGAGTGACCGCGCACCGGGCTGGGAGCTGCGTCCCGCGGGGTGGGAGGCGCGGGCAGGCTCCACCGCCATGTTGTGAGCCATGTGGTTAGGGTGACCAGATGTCCCGATATTTGGGGCTTTTTTAATATGGGCTCCTATTACCCTCCCACCCCGTCCTGATTTTTCACACTTACTAGCTGGTCACCCTACATGTTGCGGATGGAGCTGGGGGGCGGGTGCTGCTGTGAGGGAGCGGGGGGGAGGCTGGGGACCCCCATAGGCGACCCGTAACTCTGTGGTGGGGATACGTGACCCGCCCCGTGTGTCGCCTCTGCTGCCCCCTTCTCCCCGGACCTTTTGCCTGCTGCCCTGCTCGTTTCCCGCTCCCCGCCCGCAGCGTTCCGCCCGGCGGCCCCGGGAAACCCTCCCGCGCCGCCCGCTGCTGAGGAGGGGCGGATCCCTGCGCGTGACAAAGCCGCCTGGAGCGCGGGCCAGGAGCCTCTTCGCCCCTCAGGAAAGCGCTGGAGTGGGTGGGGGCTAGTTCTCTGCAGGAGCCCTGGGCACGGACTGAGCTCTCTGGCCGCCTGGCCCTGCCCCCGCCATGTGTCAGAGGCACCGGCCACGTGCGGCATCGCTCCTCCTGCAGGGGGCGCTTCCCCCCCCCCCCGGCCCACCGCTGGTAGGGACCCCCTTGCAGTCTGTTTCCTGGGGCACAAGGCTTAACCCCATCCTGCCCTTGCTGCAGGCAGCCTGAAGGCCTTCGCCAGCAATGTGGGCGGGAAGGGAGAGGAGCAGCTTCCCACCGTGGGGGTGGGCGGCGGCTGTTCTCTCTATGATGAGACTTATCACAGACCTGTGCTGACAGCCCTGTGAGGACCCCAAATAAATCTGAGGAGAACAGACTTGCCTCCACCCCTATGGCCAGGGCTATGCAGGGCAGCCATGCCATGATACTGGGGACCATCAGGGAGCTTGCCCATGTTGGGGTGTAGTTGTCCACTTTGCCATGGGGACCATATGTCTATTCCATATTTCTAATGCTGTTTCTTTGTATGCAGGGTTTAAAGCTCGTGAGTGCTTGCTAGGTGAGTTGCAAATGCCTTCATGTATGCTGGAGCTTGTGTAGCACTGGTTAGAGATGCACCTCCTCACCCATTCAAACTCCTTCCCAGGGCTCAGCCCAGCTCCCAGGGGCAGGTGTTTCTGGTATTTGGGACATTTAGGGTGGCCATAGGGTCCATGGCTAAATTTATAAGGCCATAGTGTCATACTGTCTGATGTCTAAATGACTGAAATTCCCAGATGCTTGCCTGGCATAGAAAGTTAGCCAAGTGGGAGTCGGGCATGCTACGGGGTGGTGGTGACATGTCACTGTTAATGCAGCATATCATTGCTGTTAATTGGATGCCTGGTCTTGGGAGGAGGGTGGTGTATGAAGTGCTGCAAAGATGATAAATGCTGAACTCTCTCTTTCTGAGACTTCAGTGGAGAAAATCTTTACCAGATTCTGAGTGGCACTGACTTTAGCTCAGGTAGGTGTGGATTACATTTAGGTCCCTGTGGCCTGGTACTTCAGCCCTGCAGGGAGTGGAGCAGCCCCTTGTTGAACAGCACCTGAAGAGAGCATATGCCCACATTGCCCTTAACATAGGGAGTGGGTAGACCAGGTTGTAGGAATGGTGCTCTTATAGGAGGAGAGTCAGTGACTGCATGTTAAGGTTCATGTGTGTCTCTTTTCTCAGGCATGGGTCTTACCAGTCATGTGCATCTGCAGCCTCTTCACATGTGAGTAGTTGAGCTTTTTCCATCTCTGATGAAAATGATACATAGAACATGGGGTGGTCTACACAGGGGAAACCAGCTCCATTACACCATGGTGAGGGTGCAGCTGTCTTCCCTAATGTGGCTAGGATGGGAGCAGGGATACATATTGTTGCCTTGGGGCTTGAGTGGAGCCTCATCCACTGACTCACTATCTGCTCGGTTTGTCTCCTGTGTGGAACAGCCTTGCCTCTCCAAATATGCATCCCTCTTAGACCAGCAGAAACTGTGCCCTGCTTGGAATGATGGCTGGGCGGGGTGGAGGGGGATGGTCAGTGCTGGCTTGGGATCTGTGTGTATTGGACTGATCCAAACTTCTACTTCCTCCTCGCTGCAGCAGAGCTGTCCACCATGTTTTGAGTTTTCAGTAAATGGTAGTGCATGCTAGGGTAGCATCTAGGGGTGTGTGTAGGGTTTTTTCCCCTCTGAGGATGGGGATTTGTGGCTCCACAGATGGCTCTGACCATTCCTGTGTGCCTGGCAGCTCAATCCTCTACCCAGCTTGAGGACTGCTGCAGTGGTTGGTCAGTGTAGGCTGTAAGGTGGGTCTATTTCCCTTGGACACACAGTCAAGCTTCTGCTCCCCTGCTGTTCAGTGATGAATGCAAACAGACAAGCATATGGCTGAGTGTCTGTGATGCCAGCTTACTTCTGAGAACTTGAAGATCATCCTTGGGGAGGGATTTTTGGTCTAGGAATAGGGTTAACCTGCCCTTTCTGTTTCAGGTTACCCCTGCCCCCAGATGGAGTCCGGCCTCATATACAGGTAGGTTTAGGAGCCCTGCTAAGGCTCTGTGTGTGCTGAGCATTCCCCTCCGGGTATATCAGTGCCCAAGCCCCCTTGCCATGTGATCTGAACCAGTTCCTCTGAAAAGTTTTGAAGAACATTGGTCAATAAGCATGTTAGAGTTCTGATGGCAGCTGGCCCTTGGGCCAAAGATGCTGCTCATTCAGACACCTGTCTCACAGGGCTCTCTGCTTTCCCTCTAGGTGAACTCCTCCTGGGGTAAATGCCTGTCTCAGGTAAATGCATCTCCTACACAGTGTCCCTATCATGGTAGGGCCTAGCCAGTTCCCCTTCTGTAGCTTTGGGATGGGCCATTACTTTGACGGTTGGCAAGTGGCAGTTTGAAAGGATGACACAATGTTAGCTGGACGACACTTGTCTCATGGCATTTGAGTTACCAAAGCCCTGATCAGACTGCTCTGGCTCTGCTCCAATGAGCTGTGCCCCATTCCTGTGCTCACTGACCCGATTCTCTTCTCTGTACAGGTGAGATGCCTTGATCTGGGAAGGGTGAGTGACCTACACAGTCCTAGTGCCCCCTCTGTCCACTATCCCAATGAGGAAACTTGTGCCTATCTTACTGTCTGTTCTGGTACCAGAACCTGCAAAGGTGAACCCACTGGTACCTGCAGCATGAGAGGAGGAGAACATGCTCCAAGAGGAACAGTCTGATGGGACATTGGGCTGGGTCTGACATTGTTCCCTGAGTGTAATGGCTAATTAACCCACACCTTTTGCCCCATAACACTGTGCTCTGCACACTGCCATCTCAGGCAGGAGAAGCATCCTGTAAAACAGCAAGGGGAGAGGGATGTACTCCCAGTGCACCTTGTATCTGAGCAATGGGGTGATGGAATACCACTGAGCAGAGAGCAAACACTAATCAGATGCTCTGGTTCTTTTCAGGTGCCTGGAGTGAGAGTCTTGGCCAGCTCCTGACCCAGCTGCCCAGGTAAGGGTGTGCACAGATCATCAGCTGATGATGATGGGTGGGGCTCAGTCCTAGTTGCCTGTTCCCACTGACATGATGAACTCACTTTGGAATCTCGTTCGGCTGAACATTACTGTTGAGACTCTGACTCTGAGGCTTGGTGATGAACAGGCTGCAGGCTTTGCCTCATCAGGAAGCTTATTCCGGGGATGCAAGTTTAGAATGCAAGGCCTCAAGGATTCAGATCAAATAACCTCTCTTTCCCCTAGGTTAAAGATGCTGGAGTTGATGGCTCCACTGCACTGAGTCACGGGTAAGTGCCCTTCAGCTCTCTCCAGGGCTCTTTGCAAATGTCCCTTACATAGAAGCATGTGTAAGAGACCAGATGCTGCAGTTCTCCCTGTGCAGCTCTGCCTGTCTGGGGCATGCGTTGCAAATATCACTGAGATCAAATTTTCCTCCCCAAACAACTGGGACAAGGGGCATGGAGGGAGTAGGGCTTCGTTGTGGTGTCAGGGCAGCCAGCTCTGGGTGTGTTTAAACCTGTTGTGGTAGTGCCGAGGGGGCCTAGTCAGCACCCAGTTGTGGCAGGCATGATACTGTGCTGTCTTGTGGGGTAAAAGGTGCTCACTGCAGTTTTAATGATGAGCCAAACTAGCTCACTTTGATTTACTATAAACATGAAAATATTTGAACAACTGAGAAACTGCGCAGAGCAGGGGATGAGTTTGGGGCATCTGTGCTGGGGAGTAGCTGACTGGGTTGTCTTGTTCCAGCAGGTAGCCAGAGGCCTGTGGTCTGAAGTGCCTGGAATGGTGAGTGATTGATGGGCCTAGGGGTGTAAAGGAGGGATAGGCAAGGGGAGCTAAGCAGAGATCACACCTGCCCCTCGCTGTAAGCTGAATGGCAAGCTCTGCCCTATGGCAGGGGTCCTGTCCCATTCTCTGGCTCCTCAGTGATGAGACCCCTACCGCCCCAGTCTGATCCCCATGACTGAGTGGTTCCCTCTGAGGCCAGGAGCATGGTAGCAGTGTGGGTTGAGAACATGGTGGCCTGCTCCTTGCACAGCCCTCCAACAGTTGTTCGTTTGGTTTCAGGAGCCTTGGATTTCCTGCCAGGGAATGGGCAGTCAGCCATTGGAGCTGCAGGTAGGCTGATAAGCACCAATTGGGGAAGGGACTGATAGAGAGGAGCTCTGCTCCCTCCATAGCAATACAGGTGGGGATGGCCCCACTTGTCCCTGGGCTGTGGGTGAGAGGTAGGTAGGTGCCATGTCCTGATGAGGAAACCAGGTCACGTCTTACTGTCCATGCTGGTCCAGAACCTGCCAAGGTTGAACCCACTGGGCCGGTGGAGAGAGAGGAGGAAACTCTGTTCCAAAAGGAACCGTCTGATGGGACTTCGGCAGCATTGGGGTGAGGGGTGGGGTATGCCATGGGAAGCAGCTCTCCTGCAATTCTCCCCTTGTTTCTCATAGGGCTGCCTGGAAGCATGGCTCATCCGAGCACTGCAGGTGAGTGTAATTGCCACTGACTCTGTACTTGCTCCCTGTGTGCTGATCCTCTCCCACATCCGGGGATGAGCTGTCTCACTCCTTGTGCTGGTGCACCCACCTCATAGCATGGTGCCTTCTGCTGGCATTGACTAGCTCCACCCCCCCCCCCCCGACCCTTTCCCTTTCCTCAGGCATGAGGTTGAGTATATGATGAGCACTTACCGCCCCAGTCTGATGCTGGTGACTGACTGGTACTTTCTGACGCTTGACCCTGGGGGTCTGTCTGCCCCTGGCCAGGGGCACTCCTCTCACTGGTCTCCTTCCCTCCTGCAGGTTGGAGCATGTGGGCCAGATGCAGCTTTTCCATCACACCTGCCTCCAGGAAGAGCTCTCCCTGCTGAGCTGTGACAAACCCAGCAGCAGCTTAGTGTTGGTGGGGGCAGTCGGCCCCTTAGTGTGTGGTTCTGTGTGTACTGATGGTTAAATAAAACATCTCTGCACAGAGCAGCTGGAGCCTTGGTGTCATGTTGGGCCTTGGAGTGTGCATCACAAGTCCTGCTGGGGGCATGAGCTGGCTGGTGTCATGCTGGGGAGGAGGGAGTTACTAGGTGGAGTTAGGGCCCTGCTCACCCATACCTGCAGTGATGGGGTACAGCTCCCTGGATGAAGCTTAGAGGTGGGCTGGGCTCTCTTATGCTAAAGAAAAGGAGCCTCATTCTGGCTTCATGCCAGCTGGCCCATGGGGCCCCTGTCTCCACAAGGGGCAGAGTTGCTGGTTTGTGCCTAAGCTGTCCTGCATCCTAGTGACTGAGGCTAGTACTCCTGCCATGCCACAGCAGGCTGTCTCCATCCCCAGCTAACAGCTGAGGCAGGACACTAAATGCACTCTCAGCCCTTGCATAGCCTGAAGTTGTACCGCCCACAATGGCAGGGTTGTGGGCACGTCTCTGTCCTTGGTTTCAGCCAGTGTGCTGAGCAGGAGCAATGTCCAGTACCTGACTGCTGTGTGACAGGGCTGGAATGTGTCATGCTGAGGGAACTCCTGGCGTGTCATTAGTCTTTCCTCCATCCTGCCTTGGCCTGACCTCCCTGCAAGCCCTGGAACTGACCTGTGCACAGGCAAGTGAGTTTAAACTCCTCTTGGCTCACTCAGCTTTAATTGAGTGGCTGAGTTGGAGAGGGTGAAGCTGGTGGAACTAGGCCACAGGTCTGTCCTAGCTCAGAGTGCTCTACTTCCTGTCAAGGGTTCTTGGATATCCCTAAGGTGCACTGCCCATGCCTCCCTTCTCTGGTGTATTAACCCTTATGCACCTGAGTGGGAACCTAATACAACCTACTTTACAGGCCCAAAGGGGTGGAATCCTGCTTGGGTACAGCTGGGAACAGAACCCTAGTTCACAGTATGTCTATCCACTCCTTGGGATTGTCATGTGAGGGGCTGTACTAGGATGGTGCAATAACAGCTGCTGGTGCCAGCATAGCCAGAGCAGTAGCTGAGCTGGTTCTAAGCTGCTGCACACAGATGCATCCACATAGAGGTTCCATCTGATACAGGTTGGGTACTTCTGCAATGGCAGGCTTGCAACTCCCTGCAGGGTAGCTGTATAAGCCAGAGCTGAGCAAGGCCCTGACCCTCATACAACAGCTCCTAGTTCTGCCTCTGTAATGCAGGGTGAAGGATGTGGTGTAGTTGTGTTGGTCTCAGGATATTGTTGAGTCAGACATACTAGCCTTCTGCAACACAGACTCAGGGTCTGGTCCAGGCCCTAAAGCTGCAGCTTTAACTGAAAACAGATCAGCAGGTTACCTGGCTCTAGCACCCAGACACCCAGTTCCCCATGCTATCCAAACCCCAAATAAATCAATTTTACTCTGTATAAAGCTTATACAGGGTAAACTCATAAATTGTCAGATTTCAGAGTAGCAGCCGTGTTAGTCTGTATCCGCAAAAAGAACAGGAGTACTTGTGGCACCTTAGAGACTAACAAATTTATTAGAGCATAAGCTTTTGTGGGCTACTGCCCACTTTGGATGCATGTAGAGTGGAACATATTGAAGGGAGATATACACACACATACAGAGAGCATGAACAGGTGAGAGTTGTTTTACCAACTCCAAGAGGCCAATTAAGTAAGAGAAACAAATTTTTTTGAAGTGATAATCAAGATATCAAACTGTACTGGGCTAAGAAGTGTGAGAATACTTACAAGGCTGAGCCATTACAAACATTGAATCTATCTCCCCTTGTAAGTATTCTCACACTTATCAATATATATCTGAAACCTGTCATTAATAAATAAGTGATTTTTATTAAGTATAAAAATTAGGATTTAAGTGGTTTCAAGTAATAGAACAAAATAAGCCACCAAGCCCAATAAAGCAAAAACATGCAACTGATTATAGGTACTATCTCACCCTCAGCAATGTTCCAATATGCTTTTTTCACACACTAGACTCCTTCCTAGTGCGGGCCCAGTCCTTTCCCCAATACAGTCCTTATTAGTTCCAGCAGACTTCTCAGGTGGTAACTAGGGGTTTTCTCATGACTGGCCACCTTTCTTCTGCTCTACCCCCTCTTTTTTTTTTTTTAATAGCTTTGGCACAAGGTGAGAGTCCTTTGTTTCTCTGGGTCCACACCCCTCCTAAATGGAAAAGTACCAGATTTAAGATGGATTCCAGTGTCAGGTGACATGATCACATGTCGTGTGAGACCTCAGCCTCCATTACATAGGAAGGTTTGCAAGTAAACAAAGACATTTACAGTTCATTGATTCTGAAGCACCCTTACATACTTCCACTTAATATGTTTACATCAGTAATACAAGTTTATATCTTATTCTCCTAACTTCAGACATAGAAATAATTCATGCAAATAACTAGGAAGAACAAAGATTATAAGCTTTGTAATGATACCTTACAAGAGACCTTTTGCATAAAGCATATTCCAGTTACATCATATTCACATTCATAAGCATATTTTCATAAAGCATATGGAGTGCAATGTCACAGTAATATCTTATTGGACCAATTTCTCTGGGTAAGAGAAGCTTTTGAGCCACACCGAGCCCTTCTTCAGGGTGAAGGAGACTTTCCTCCCTTGTATTTAGTTTGGGCCCACCCTGCTCCAGGACCACTGAGGAGTCCATGGCTATGATGGGCTGGGACCCTCTGCCCAAACCCTGGCTGGGAAGCTGTGAGATCTGTGCTCCAAGAGCTGCCCCGGGGCAGGTGTGTGGCCTTGCCTAGGTTGTCATATGCTAGGGCTAAAGTGTGGATTCTACAGCTCATAGAGAAGAAAGAGCTATGTGTGGGATGGGGCCAAGCTTCTCCTGCTAGGCTCAGACTCCTTTGGGTGCCTGATGACCTTAGAGCTGGGCTGGCCCCCCCTCATGCTGAAGAAATTCTGGTTTGCACATGCCACAGAGTATTAGGGGTCTCTCGCTGCCCCCTCAAGGTACAGAGGTGCTGGCTTGGCACCTGAGCTGTGTGGGATGCCTGTAGCCAAAACTGCCTGGGTATAGCAATCTCCCCAGTGGGCAGAGCTGTGAGTTACCACCTCTCTTCCTCCCCACTCAGACTCTGCTGGGGAGCCCCTGCAGCTGGCCATCTGGCTGATGGGTTCCTGGGTGCAGGAGATGCTGTGAACAGGGAGAGGTTAACCTGTCTGAGCCTGTCGCAGCAGCTGCCTGCCTGACCTTGGGGAGCCCAGGATTAACTCAGGCAAACTCCCACCTCAGCCAAACCTGCTGCTAAAAGGGGCCTTGACAGCCAGCCCTAGGCTCGCATCTGTCAGGGCAGAACCAAGTAGCTGAGACCTGCTCACCATGGTGGCAGCCACTTTGGGCTCTGTGGGAGGGGAGCTAGCTATGCCAGCATGCAGCAGCAGCGGGCACTGTGCCCACTTGAGCAGGCCCCAGTGCCTAGGCAGTGTCTATTCTCTGCTGCTACTGAAGGCAGGGAAGGTGAAAGCTGAGTGGGGGACAGCTACATGAGCCAGGTGTATGTGTGGTCTGTGCTCACATACTGGGACCCACAGAGGAAGCTGCAGGGACAGTGAAAGCCTCTCCATGCCTGTTTCTCTGGGGAAGCTTCTCTACCTTGCTGTCACCCTTCTGCAGGGGAACTGGGGGGCAGGGTGGTGTCCTGAGGAACTGGGATAGGAGGACATAAGTCCCAGGCACTGGGGGGTCAAATGCAGCAGCTGGCAAAGTATAGGGCCCAAACTTTGGGGTTGGGTTATGTGGGGCCTTGGGCTCAGGCATGGGAGGGGAGGTTTGGAAGCTGGGGTGGTGCAGATGCAGGGTCAGGTCTCGGGCTCTGGGATGGGGTGCTGGGATGCAGGCTCGGCCCTTCGTAACAGGTTTCTCCCTCTGCAGGTGTGGTGCTCATGAGTACTGCTGTGTCTCTAATGCCAGGAGGGTGAGAGTCTGGCCAAGATCTTTATGGTGTTGGACCTGGAGGTGCTCCCTAGAGAGAAGATGGCTTCCCCCTTCAAGCTCATTGCACACACACACCATTCTCCCCAGAGGCACCTGCAGGACTGCATGGGCAGTGGGAACCTGGGGCTGCTAAGCCAACATGCCTGCTTTTGCTTTGCTGTCACCAGGCCATTCCAGGAGGCAGAGGGTGTGGATTAGCGCTGTGTCTGGGCCATGTGCCCTGGGGGTGCTGCCTGCCCAGCCCTGCTCCTGGCATTGCACTGACCACCCTTCCTGGCCATACTCAGGAAGGCAGCTGATGCACAGGCTCTGGAAAGCAGGAACCCAACAAGCCACTGCTCTTGCTCTGGCTTTGCTGAGACTCCCATGCTCTGCTGGATCTGATGGGAGGAACTGGGCTCTGCGGAGGAGGGGCCTAGACAGACTGTGACCCCATAAGGGATGGTATTTGTGCTGCTCCTTATGGGGTGGGGGAAGAATGAACAGGCAGCAGGCGGGAACGTTGCGAGTAGAACTAGGTGTAGGCAGGAAAGGGTTCGGTGAGACACCACGGAGCGGAAGCAAACCCGGCCCAGGCCTGTCACGAATTGCGAAGTCTAACATCCGGCTTCCGGCGTAATACTGTAAGCGGTCCGGCCCCGCACCACTTCCCTCCTCTTTTAGCACATTCTGGCCCACCAGGACAGCCAGAAGGGAGCGAGCCGGAGCGGATAGAGAAAGGTAGCGGGGCAAGATGGCGTCTTCTGCGCGGTGGAATCACGTGTGGGTTGGATCCGAGACTGGCATCCTGAAAGGTATCGGGGAGGGCGGCCGTGATGGGGGGGCTTGTCCCAGTCTCTTCTCCCTGCCTCCGGCTGTGACCAATTTTCGTCTCTTTCCTAGGGGTGAACCTGCGGCGGAGACAGGCCACCAACTATGTGGCGGCCTCGGCACTGCGCCGGGATGAGGGCGTCTGCGCCATGTGCTGGGGGGACCCCTCCGAGTCCGAGGTGAGGGGCCCGGGGCGGCGGCGGGAGGGGCTGCAGCCGAAGGGCTGGGGCGGCGGGGGGAGGGGCTGCAGTCGGGGGCGCCCCCTGACCACTCTCCTTCCCCAGATCCTCGTCGGCTGCCTGGATCGGTCGGTGAAGCTGTTCAGCACCGAGAAGGGAAAGTTCACAGAGTCGCGGCAATGTCTGGGCGGGGAGGGCTCGTTCTGCGGCCTGGCCGTGCACGACAGGTGGGTCCCGCGCCCCGAACCAGGCAGCTGCCCCCCAGCTCCATAGTGCCTGTTTCCAGCTTTTTATCCGTGGGCCTATCTAACCCCAGGTTTCACCCATCCCCCCCCGTCCCCTCTCACCCGGGATCGGGCCTATCTAACTCCAGGTCTCTCACGTTCTCCTCCTCCTGGGAGATTCATGGATCCCTTTATCCCAAGTCTCCTCCTCTCCGTCCCCACCCCATCAGATCTGTAGATCCATCTAACCCTGGGTCTCACGCAGCCAAGCCCTGGATTAGATCATTTACCCTTTGCTCCCTGCCACCACCAGGTTAGTCCCGGGAGCTCCTTGAACCTCATGCACATGCCTACCATTGGATCAGACCAATGGGCCCATCTAGCCTCCTGTCCTGTCTCTTACAGCAGCTGATGTTGGATGGTTCACTCAGAGACTTAATCTGTCCTGCTGCCAAAAAGAAATAAACCCATGGGGGGGGGGGAGAGCGGGGGAGAAGCATCTTTCACCCTCTTTAGGCAGGAGATTCAAGTTCCCTTTGTGACACCCACTTCTTGTCTGCCTATCGATGCATCCATCCATCTCACCCCCTAATTCCAGTACTGAGTGTGGCCCGTGTCTGCTGTTAGAAACTAACAATGATTTATTTCTCTCTCCTCCCTATCTGGATTTTCTCCCTCTCACCCCCACCATTTGGCCGGCATGTTCAGTTCCATCATCACCTGTGTGGAGTCTGGTCTCCTCAAGGTCTGGCGGGATGCCTCATCTGAAAACGTAAGGCTCTCATGGGGAGAGGCCTGGTGCAGTGGATGCTGGGTTGGTGGTGGGGTATGGCTAAGTGGGGGATGCTGCATTGGGAAGGAATCTGAGCCGGATTAGGGCTAACACTGTTGCCTTCCAGGCTGGTCCCAGGGAGTCGAGCTGTGTGGGGACAATTCCTGTTTGCTCTGTGGGGAGGGGTAAGTGCAGTGGATCTCAGTCCTGCCAGGATCCCTGCACTTGGTGGTATCATAACTCCCTCTTTTCTGCTGCCCCATTTAGATGGAAACCCAGGTGGGGGCTGGCGTGTGCCGTATGCGCCAGAACCCTGCCCAGCCGCAGTCTGTGGGGACAGGTGGGAAGGAGAACGCTCTGAAGGTCTGGGACTTGCACCGGCCTGAGGAACCCATCTTCCGTGCCAAAAATGTGAGTGCTTGCCCTAGATGTTCCCCCTACAAGCCCATGCTCTAGGGAGCCCTGGCCATGCCCTCTATCAGCATCTGCCCTGGCTGCCCCTGGGAGGAGGGAAGCCCTTGGCCTGGCTCTAAGTCTATATCCTACCCCTTGGGGGAGAGTCTGTCCTGACCCCACCTATTGTTCCCTGAGCCTGTGCCCACCATACACACTCCTCCTCCCTTCGTCCCTCCCCCCAATCCCTGACAAGATCTACATTTCATCTCCTGACCCTGCCCGAAGCTCAGTACCCTCTCAGGCCATGTGGGAGCAAACCCAGCCCAGGCCTTGTGGTTCCACTTACCCCGCCTCACCCCTCTCGGCAGGTGCGGAATGACTGGCTCAATCTCCGAGTCCCTGTGTGGGAGCGTGACCTGCAGTTCCTACCTGGCTCTGAGAAGATTGTCACCTGCACTGGGCACCACCAGGTAGGAGCCTGAGGAGTGGATTGGGCTGCAATGAAGGGACTGGAGTTTGTAGGGGGGAGGTGGTATTAGGGTCTGGAGGACCGTGTAGGTAGGGGGATTGGGTTCTGGAGGAGGTCTGGGGAGGGACTTGGGAGGCGGTGGGGGTGTGAGCTGGATTGAGGTGGGAAAGGGATCAGGGTCTGGGGAGCCCACAGAGGCAGGGATGAGTAGACGGGGGTCTGAGAGGCTGGGAGTAGAGGGAGAGGGACCTGGGGAAGGGGAGGTGCAGGATGGTGTTTGGGGTGGGGGAGATGGGAAAGGGGATCAGTCTGAGGTGCAAACAGGGTGGGGGATTGTGGAGCAGGGGGAATGGAGGGAAGAGTTGGGACGATAGAGGTGTTGGATTGGGGTTTGGAGGGGTTGGGCAGATGGAGAAGGGGAATCAGGGTCTGAGATGCAGAGGATAGAGAGGCGGAGGGGCATTCAGGTGTTTGGAGGGTTCGTTTCCTGACAGTAACTGACCTCTGATGCCCCCAGCTCATCTGCTTGGGGCAGTGGTTGCCTGCCAAGGAGGGAGTGTGCGGGGCCACTTTGACGCCCTCTCTGTCTCTCCCAGGTGCGGCTGTACGACCCCAGCTCCCCACAGCGGCGCCCTGTGCTGGAGGCAACCTATGGGGAATACCCCCTCACAGCCCTCTCCCTCACCCCTGGTGCTGAGTAGGTCACTCTCCCTGCCGGCTGAGGGGGCGGGGGCACTGAACACAGTTGAGGGAGGGCAGGGCAGTGGCTCTGTGGCTTGGGGTGAGGCACCCGTCTACGAATGCCAAGGGCGGGCAGCTGAGAACTATTCAGAGCTCAGCACCAGACCTCCATTTGGTTCTGTTTGGTGGGAGGCAGCACTGGCTCCTGGGTCAGAGCAGGGGGGCTGGGAGTCCAGGCTCCTGGGTTCTTTTCCCAGATCTGGGTGGAGAGTGGGTTGGGGTGGAGGGGAAGGAGCTGCTGATGGCTCCTTGGTGGGTGGTGGAGTGCAGAAGCCTGGCTGGGCAGTGAGTATCGCTGTGACCATGGGGTGGGGAGTTAGAGCGGTGGCTCCTGTCCTGCCTGTGCCTAACACCCATCTCCTTGCAGCTCTGTGGTGGTAGGCAGCTCGCACGGGGACATGGCTGTCATTGACCTGCGGCAAGGTGAGCAGGGGCTGGGGCATGGCTGCAGCCCATAGCACTTTGCTGCTGCCAGCCTCAGGGCATGGAGGGGCTAATGTTGGGAGGGAGTATGGGAGAGGGAACATTGTTCCTCTTGGGGCAGGGGAGAAGTCTGGCCTGTGGGAGTGGAGGAGGGATTCGTGGGGGTGGAAAGTTAGGAGGTGAGACTCGGTTGAGGTTGAGTCAGTGGAGAGGGTGCTACTGGGCCCTCTGGCTTGGATCTCTGGGGGTGGGCCTGGGGGCTGGCTCAGTGATGGTCCGTCTCTCTCTGCGGCAGGACGGCTGGTGAAATGCCTGAAGGGCTTTGCTGGGAGTGTGCGCAGCGTCCAGTGTCACCCCACCCTCCCACTCGTGGCTTCCTGTGGCCTTGACCGCTTCCTGCGGGTACATAATATCGAGGACAAGCACCTGGTACACAAGGTGAGAGCTGCGCCCTCCGCCCCCCCATGCAAGCACCCCTGCTGCGAGGGGCCGGAGCTGCAGTGATTCCCTCTCCCTTATGGACATGGTGCTGTATCCTGATCTCTGACCCCTGTTGTTTGCAGGTGTATCTGAAGTCCCGGTTGAACTGCCTGCTGCTGACCAGCCGTGAGAAGTGGGATGTGAGTGTGGTGGGAAGGGAGGGAGCAGAGGGGGCTCCCTCTTGGGTGTGGGAGCTCTATTTGTGGGGTCGCTGCACCTTGGCTGCCTGTCTCCTGGCTGCATTGTTATTGGGTTGAGGGTGTTGGGGACAGGGAGCAGGGGAGAGACCTCAGGGCCGGGGCCTTCTGCTCCCCTAAACCTGCTTAAGGTAATGGGTAGGGACCCTTCCCTTGTCCTTCTATGGGGGCCCCTTCACGTAGTCAGGGGACTGCAGGGGGCGCTGCTTGTTTTGACTGTGCCTCCCCCCCCCCCCACCCCCCAGGATGAAGAACCTGAACCTGCAGCCCCCCAAGCAGACGTGAAGGAGGAAAAAGATGAGCTGTGGGATGGCATGGAGACGGTGGCTACCAAAACAGTGCTCAAGCGCAGGGCGGACCCCAATGTCCGGGAGACCCAGCTAGGCAAGCGTCCCAAGAAGCAGAAGAGAACAAGCGCTGGGCCTTGAGGGGGGCGAGTGGGGAGCTTATGCCCCAGCCAGAAAGGATAATGAACTCGCTCCCTACCCCGGCCATAGGGACTCCTGCCTGGACAAGGGGAGGGGAAGCCTCATGTCTCTGCTGGCCAGAGGCACCAGCCTCTCCCCTGCTGCTGAAAGGGACTGGGGTGGAGTGGGGGTGGAAATGTGCCAGCCCTAGCTGGGGTTGGCAGGGCCCTAACCTCTCAGAGAATGCTGCCCCCGCTTGGACAAGGTGGGTTGAGCTGGGGGCAGTCACAGCCCGCTGTGGGGCTGGAGGGCAGAGCTGGGTCCATTAAGGCCCATTCCATTGGCCAGCAAGTGGAGCAGATATTTTGGGTAAGAGATTTGGACCTACCCCCTGGACACCCAAGCTGTAATGGCCATCACACAGCAGTGTAAAAATAACCTGTAACCGTGCCTTGTTCTGGAAGTGTGTGTGTCTGTGTCTGTGTCTGTGGGGGGTGAGGTGGGATGGTGCATTGGCATGAGCCCTACTCTTTGCTCTTTCCTAGATGGTCCACTGCCTATAGGGGGAGGGCTGACCCCAGGGTGGGTATTGGAGGAGGGACCCCTGTACATGACCCCCCACACACACACATCAGCTCTCCATCCACATGCAGCTCTTCTGTGCCCTAGCCCTTGGCTATCCCCTCTCTGCCCTGCCCCCAGCCATGGAGTCTCCTACATGGCCCCTCCTTGAGGAGCCTCTGCCCCCAGGGGGCCTGTCTCACCTGGGGCGGGCAGGACACGTGGGAAACGCAGCTGCGGTCTGCCCAGGTTGCCGTGGAGGAGCCGGAGGCGGGGCCGTGCCTCCGGGCGTGGTGCGGGCGGAGCCGCTGGGATGGGTCCATGGGGGCAGGCCCGAGCCGGGCGGGGCGCTGTGTGTCCCCAGGAATCGGGGCCATGCCCCGGACCAAGCCCTCGCCTGGAGACTGCGACAGGGAGGCGCCGCCGGGCGCTGACCTCACAAAGTGCCCGGGGACCGCGCGGCGCCCGGAGCCGCGGGCGCCAGGTGGCGGCAGCGCACCCATGGGCTGCATGCACTCCGGCCGCGGATCCCGCGCCGCGGGGCCGGACGGAGCAGAAGGGCCCAGCGGCACTGCAGGTGGGGAGATCCCTGCCTTGGGTGGCATCCCGGGGGGAGGAATCCCTGCAGGGGGCGCGAACTGCAGGCGCGGGTGACCCCTGCCGGAGGAAAGTGGGGGTCCTGGTGGTATGGGGGGAGGCTGTGCAGGGGGAGGGGCTACACGTGTGTATGGGGGATCTTGGGGGGGAGATTCCTGCATTGGGAAGAGGGGGATCATGGGACTTCCGCAGGGGGTGGGGGTCTACACATGGGGGATGGAGTCCCTATAGGGGCAGGCTACTGGGTCCTTCATGCTGCTCCGTGATAGATAGAAATCTGTCAGTCTGTCCAGCGTGGGGGGGGGGGGGGGGAAGCTCCTTTGGCCCCCACTCCCTCCAGGTCACGCTCCTACCCCTGGGTCTGCTGGGGTCGCAGTGCACATTGCACTCTATGTCTTTGAGTTTATTCTCTGGGGAAACTCGGAGCCAATGAGGGGAAATTCCCATCCCTACTCTGCACAGAGCAGAGTGGAATCCAGGCATCCTGCTGCCCAGCTATCCCTCCGCTGTGACCAGCTAGACCCCACTGTTCTCCTAGAGCCAGGAATAGAACCCAGGAGCTCTGGATCCCCGACCTTCAACTGAACAACACTACTTCATGGTGGCTCTTCATTTGCCTTACCATAGAGCTTGTAAAGGTGTAGAATAAATATAAAATTAGAGAATTAAAGTTAGCTTGAGTTTGGCTGAAGATGTGTTGTAAAGAAAGACCTTGAAGGTAATGAGTTATAGGGCCAGAAGACATGAAGTAGGGAGCATGTCTGGTTCAAAGAATAACTAATGAAATAAGGGGACATTTCTGAAGAGAAGGCCTCTGACCGGTAGGGGTGACAGCAGATGGTTTTAAATAAGACAAAGAGAATCTGTTTTACAATGAGCCAACATGGCCCTTCGCATTCCACACACCAGTGTTATTGAAAAACTTAGGGCCCAGGTGAACCCACGTTTAGCCCATTTGTAATTATCTTAATCAGATGCTTATAAATGTTTTGTTACTGTCTGAATGTGGTAAATTGCTTATTATTTAGGCTTTGAAGGCAATTTGTTTAGAGCAATTGTATAAATATCATTTGGCCTTTGGATTTAATAAAGGAATTAATGGTTAAATCAGTATCATGATAATAGCCTGCATAAATAATAATTCCAAAGTTCTGGCACCCGTGGCAGGACAAATGACAATAATGTCAGTTGTTCCAAACTCCAGAGTGAAGGGGTTGCGATCTATCCTCTGGGGCCAACATAAGAACGGCCATTCTGGGTCAGACCAATGGTCTATCTAACCCAATATCCTGTCTTCTGACCGTGGCCAATGGCACATGCTTCAGAGGGAATGACTAGAAGAAGGGGGCAATTATCAAGTGTTCCATCTCCTGTCGTCTCCTCCCAGCTTCTCACAGTTAGAGAATTAGGACACCCAGAACGTGGGGTTGCATCCCTGACCGTCTTCGGTAATAGCCATTGCTGGACCTATCCTCCATGAATCATCTAATTATTTTTTAATCCAGTTATAGTTTTGGCCTTCACAATATCCCCGGCAATGAGTTCCACAGGTTTACTGTGTGTTGTGTGAAATAGTATTTCCTTTTGTTTGTTTTAAACCTGCTGTTTATTACTTTCATTAGGTGACCCCTGGTTCTTGTGTTATGTGAAAGGGTAAATAACACTTCCTTATGCGCTTGCTCCACAATATTCATGATTTTATAAACCTCTATCATATCCCCTCTTAGTCATCTCTTTTCCAGGCTGAACAGTCCCAGTCTTTTTAATCTCTCATATAGAAGCTGTTCCATACCCCTAATCATTTTTTGCCCTTCTCTGTACCCTTTCCAATTCTAATATATCTTTTTTGAGATGGGGTGACCAGAACTGCATGCAGTATTCGAGATGTGGTCATACTATGGATTTATATAGTGGCATTATGATATTTTCTGTCTTATTATCTATCCCTTTCCTAATGGTTCCTAACATTCTGTTCGCTTTTTTGACTGCTGCTGCACAGTGAGCAGATGTTTTCAGAGAACTCTCCACAATGCTGCAAGATCTCTGGCTTGGTCCACACTGGGGCGAGGGATCGATGTAGGAAACGCAACTTCAGCTACGAGAATAGCATAGCTGAAGTCGACGTTTCCTAGATTGAACTAAGTTTACTTACTGCGGGTCACGCGGCACAGGCAAGCTCCCCCGTCGACAGCGCTTCCTCCTCTCGGCGAGCAGGAGTTCCGCAGTCGACGGGGGAGCGCTTCTGGGATCGAATAGATCCCAGAAGATCGAGCTCTACCCACCGAATCAGGCGGGTAGTGTGGACCTAGCCTCTTTCTTGAGTGGTAAGAGCTAATTTAGACCCCATTGTTTGGTATGTATAGTGGGGATTATGTTTTCAAATGTGTGTTACTTTGCATTTATCAACACTGAATTTAATTTGCCAATTTGTTGCCCAGATACCCAGTTTTGTGAGATCCCTTTGCAGCTCTTTGCAGTCTACTTTTGACTTCATTGTTTTGAATAATTTTGTAAAATCTACACATTGTGCCACCTCACTGTTCACCCCCTTTTCCATATCATTTATAAATATGTTGAACAGCACTGGTCCCAGTACAGATCTTTGGGGGACCCCACTATTTACCTCGCTCCATTCTGAAAACTGACCATTTATTCCTACCCTTTGTTTCCTGTCTTTTAACCAGTTACTGATCCATGAGAAGACCTTCCTTTTATCCCATGACTGCTAACTCTGCTTAAGAGCCTTTGGCGAGGAACCTTGTCAAAGACTTTCTGAAAGTCCAAATACACTATATCCATTGGATCACCCTTGTGCATGTGTTTGTTGACCTCAAAGAATTCGAATAGATTGGGAAGGCATGATGTCCCTTACAAACGCTGTGTTGACTCTTTCCCCAACAAATCGTGTTCATCCATGTGTCTGATAATTCTGTAGTTTACTATAGTTTCAATCAATTTGCCTGATATTGAAGTTAGGCTTACTGGCCCATAATTGCCATGATCGCCTCTGGAGACTTTTTTAAAAATTGGCATCACATTAGCTATCCTCCAGTGATCTGGTACAGGAGCTGACTTAAGTGATAGGTTACATACCACAGTTAATAGTTCTGTAGTTTAATTTTTGAGTTTTTTCAGAATGCTTGGGTTCATAAAATCTGGTCCTGGTGACTTATTACTGTGGGTGTGGGTGTGGAGGAGGGCTTAGGGCTGGGGATGGGGCAGGGGGTTGGGGGGGCAGGGGTGCGGGCTGCTGGATCCCGGGTGGTGCTCACCTTGGGTGGCTCCATGCGAGTGGCAATATATCCCTGCTGCTCCTAGGCGGAGTCGCGGTTAGGTGGCCCTGCACGCTATCCCCACCCTGCCCTGAGCACTGGCTCCGCAGCTCCCATTGGCCATGGCACCTGCGGGCAAAGGCAGCATGCAGAGCCGCCTAGCTGCACCTCCGCCTACAAGCAGCAGGGACAGGTTGCTGCTCAGAGGGAGCTGCATGAGGTGAGCACTGCCCAGATCAGGCACCCTGCATCCCCTCCTGCACCCCAACCTCCTCTCACACCCAAACTCCCTCCCAGAGCCTGCACCCAGTGATGAGGTGCCAAAAACTTAACAACCGGTTCCCTCCTCCTTACCCCATGAGGGGGTCGTGGCCCGGCCCGCTCCCTCCTGGACTCCTGCCCCATCCACCCCCCTTCCCTGTCCCCTGACTGCCCCCCGCCGCCCCATCCAACCTCTCCTCATTCCTGATGGCCCCCCAGGACCCCTGCCCCATCCAACCACCCCTTCTCTCTGTCCCGACTGTCCCTGGAACCCCTGCCCCTGACCTGCCTCCCACCGCCCCATCCAACCCCTGCTCCTTCCTCGACTGCCCCCTCGACCTTGCCCATT